GGGGGGGGGGGGGGGGGGAGGGGATGGAAAAATAGATATAGAGGAGGCGTTCTTTTGGGTTGGACAAAGACATGACCTTACGTCTGTCCTACCACAACTAGCAGTTGGAAACCAACTTGTTGACGAGGTCTTCTGCTGGCGCCTTTGATTAGAGGCTTTCGTATCTACTGACGGACTGGAAGCCTCTCTCGACTGCTACCCGTGTCCGAAGTGTCCTTGCGAGAGAACGGACAAGTTTTTGTTCTCGTTGTTTTGATCTCCGATGCCATGTAATCGATCGATCGGGCGTCGTCGTGTTGGGGCGAGTTGACCGCTATGTCCTTTGATTCTCATGGCAACGCTCACCACACGATAGTTCGGCTGATTGGCATTCGCAGCTACCAATAATGGCGCACATCGCCACATAATAGAGAAGAGGGGCACGCGTCGGATTTGTTTAGAAAGCCTATTTGGAACTGAATAGGATGCGCCTTGTTCGCGCTTTGTTTTCAACCTGCAGTGACGGAGTCAGGGCGAAAGGGAACACGACTCTGAGGTTAAAGGGGGGAAGGCGTCGGGTTTGGGGTAGTAGTAGGACTCAGAATGCTCGTAATACATACGTGGATACATCACAGAACATGAAGGTTAGTCTGCTGTAGAAGATACTATTTAGAAGTACCATTGTTTTTTTGGGCATGGATGGAAGGTGGCGCATTGATTTGGTGGATAATCCGTTTCATCGTTTTTATCTGTAGCTCGACGGAGAGCGTTGCTGAAGGCCATGCAAGACAGCATGCCTGCACCGATAATTTGTTGTGCAGACGAAGATGAAAATTCTCCTTTGCAGCACGAACAGCGAAACGTACACACACAGACCACGCCTTCTAGAGTAAGCTGTTGAAGGCTTGACGGCGGCCACATCATATCCCACACTCCTGAAACGGCGGGGGGGGGGGGGGGGGGGCTGTCGTAGCTCTCTTCGCGAATCTCCACTGTTTAAGCTTCGGCATTTAGCTCCTCAGTACAACACACGAGTAATCCCTCGCCAAGGCCTAGAAAATCACCTCATGTGATTTTGTAAGATCGAAGGAAAATCTTATTTCAAGTGCAGTAGCCACCAAAAATGCTACCTAGTTTGTTCACTCTACCTCGAAAACTCACTCACGCCAACTTTTGAGAACGCCACGGAGAACGCCACGGACCCTTTCGCGCGTGTGTCGTATTGCTGCCAAACACCAAACATGACCCTTTGGTAGAGATGGGGGTGGAACGGGTGGCAGAGCTCCGCTGTATGGTCATATCCCGGTGTTTTGACTTTCTTCGGAGGCTTTTTTCGCAGACCTGGGATCCGCACACACATGATTTCTTGCTCCTCTCTCCCGCAGCTTGGCCTGTACTTCCCTCGCTTGATCGAATGCGGAAACTAGCCCTTGCGTTCGGTATGGGGAGATGAAGGTGGCATCGGTGGGGGCGGTGTGGGATTTTTAGGCTACGCGCACCACACCTCCGCTCTTCCATTGTTTTTCATCAACGTCCAACAACAACATGGCAGAGCCGCCGTCGCCCCAGCAGCAGCAGCAGCAGATCCCGCCGCCACGAACGTGAGTTTGCCTGTGTTGTTCACCGTATGTGCGAAGTTTGTTGGATCTGCGGTTGGTTCAGTGTTCAATCTTGCGGCGTGGCTGATTCACCTTCTTCATAGCTCCTGGATACGTTGGTCTACATGTTTCGTCTGCACATCATGCTTGAAGTCTACTCTCTTACAGGTGTCTGGTTACTGCTGTACATCACCCCGCCCAGGATCTTCAAACTCCTTCCTTGCTCAGTGAATACGATACCGCCGTGGTATGCATAGTCTGTGCATATTCATCCGTCTGCTGTAGACGATAATGTTCTGTTGTAGGCCAGACTCGAATTCTTGTGGATGAACTCGGAGTATATATATGCCATGAGAGCGGCACTGCTGCAAGCCGTCCACATCAGACACGAGTGCGATGGCAGGTAAAATTGCAGACTAGTCTAGACTAGATATCAGATATTGGTTCAGTTCTCGGACACACGCGTCCAGTGTAGGAAAGACTCCAAGCGCCTCCAGACTTCATGCTTTATGTATAGTCTATACCCTCTACCTGGTGCCTCGTGCTTGTTGGCACCCTACCGGTAGAGATTATGGACGGTATTCCTCTGCTTGTTTGCTCCCCCCACACACCTGCCCGTCCCTACCTACAGCAGTTGTAGACCACCTGTTCACTGCATGATTTTTTTTTCAAGCTGTACGCTTCCCCCCGCCTGTTGATGCCTGTACCCTGCCAGGTACAGCCCGACATGACACAAGATAACACCCCCCCTGCAAACACACACGTTGCCGCAATCGGTGGTAGTACTTGTACGGGGTCAATATGAGAGTACTCTCCCAGTGAAGAATATACAATACCTACCCCCCACAATGACATACCCGCCCGGAGACAATTTGATTATAAAACAAAACGTTGTCACCGGCATGTTTTTCTGGTATCGTAGACTGCTGTAGTGCACGGTAGGTACAAGCACACATACATTGAACTTCAGATTTTCATACTGAAAAGGAACTTCACGTATGTCGCCCTATTTCGGAGAGAGGTCATAGACGTTGCCCCCTCCCGTTGCCCCCCACCATGATTCAAATATCAGAACACGCGTTGGTTATTTCCCTATCTTTCAACAGTAGTAAATTTGCCTTAGAACAACTTCTAAGGAGCGTCGTCCTTCAATCACAGGTAGTTCCTGAACATCCATACTTGTACCCGCCTCCTCTTCCCACCTCCAGATAGATGCGAATAACAAGAAGGAGGAAGGCCCTTACTACCACCTTCTTCGTTTGTTTGCTGGGGATGCTCCGTACATTGTATTTCCTTCCGGAAATCATCTCTCCTGCGTTATTTTGCATTGCCAACTCGAAATAATCTCTCCTGTGGTGGTCACTCGTTTCCGCGACATGTGTGTGTGTGTGTGTGTGTGTGTGTGTGTTGACCTTCAGCGGCACGACGCTTCCCTTTATCTGGCCGCCTCCACACCACCTGCAAACCCCTCCCCCCTTCGAAGAGCCGGTGCTGCCCTTCCCGCCTCCGGAAAGCCTTCTCGTCAGAGAAACCAAGCTCGACGCTCTCAGGTAAGCGTCCGCACACACGCACGTGGTGCAGTAGATACCGCTCATCACACCGTCTTAGCCTCAACGACTGACCTATGTTATACACCAAGGGAATGTTCAATTTCATGTGGAACCCGTACGTATGTGGACATAAGGATGTTTTTCTATCATACGGAGACGAGATTGTGAATATAGTGCTTCCTGCCATAGACTGTTCCTGCAACGTTAACCCTGTGCTCTTGGGGCTTGATGAAGCAGACGCCTGTACTGTCCTGTTCCGTTGCAATGCACGAGTCACAGCAATTTGGTGTTACAAGTAGGGCCGGCGTCACAACAACCTGACGGTAATCAAGCAGGTGCGAAGAGCCAGACAAGCATCAGGGGCAACAGGTGTACGACTCCCTCACCCGACCTCCACGGGCTGGCGTCAACTATGCGGTGAGATAGATGGGTAGAAGGTTACCGATGTCACCTAAAAGTGAGGGGTTCTTTCTGTGATTATGTTGCGGACCTGTGCGAAACTGAAAAGTGCGATCGATGCTGATCTATGTGCTCTATCTGTGATGTGCCTGATGCCGGTATGTCCGATGCTCTGATGTCTGCATTTTCCTCTCCAATGTCTAGTTTTGCTCTGTGAACGAGGTGATGATCAGTCTATTTTTTTCTGATGCTGATCCATATTATAGATGTTGAATTAACTGCCAACGAGAAACAGACAGTAACATGTCGTGATCATGCGAAACCGTACCCCGGCCCATGAATGCATTCTCCGGATGCGATGCAGCGCAACTTGTCTAAACGACGTGCAATAGAAGCAGGTTTTACACTCTACGATATTGGACTAGATCAAGTCAATTGGGGTCTGCAAAGTCTACACATGTGTATCAAACCGTTGGTGATTGCGACCATTTCGCAGTACGCGCGACAGCGCAACTTGTCTGAACGACGTGCACTAGAAGCAGGTTTTACATTCTACGATATTGGACTAGATCAAGTCAATTGGGGTATGCAAAGTCTACACATGGGTAGCAAATCGTTGGTGATTGCGACCATTTCGCAGTACGCGTGAGGTAGGGGGAGGTTGTGTTGGGGTCGAGGGCGCTTGGTCTCAAAATCGCCAACAACTACCGTATCTTCTAACGGTCTTGTGCGCGTGTAACCGATCGAATGGCCGCGAATGATGTTGATGGTGTCGATTGCGTCAATGATGTTGATGATGGTGAGGATTCATGGTACGATACGCTGTGACGGATGGATGGATGTACGTATGACTCGGTCATTGCCGCCGCGACAGAAAGCACCGTCTACATTATTGTATCGGCTGCCGTCTTTGCCTTGTGTTGACACCTACACATAAGACTATGCATACGCCACGACACAGCCAAACCCGATATCCATACATACAACACATCACCGCATCACCACATCCATTCAGCAAGCTCGAGGGGCAACAGCGGACGAAGACATGCCCCGGTGGTATTCGCCTACAGGCCCAGAAGATGACACCGTCATGTTCGAGTCGCGCTTCGAATCGGGAAACCTTAGGAGTGCCGAGAGAATGTGAGGCATTGTACGTACCAGTCGTAGAAGCACTGAGAGAAAACATTCAGTGTTCCAGCTCTAGATTGCGGTGAAGAGTGCAATATTTTTGTCTCCCCGTCCTTGGTCCTCGTGCTGGTGGTACTGGTCGTCTGTACGTGCTTGGGTGTTTTCGTTTTGATCGGTATTTTGGTCATGGCTTTGACGCCGCTCCGTGTGGGATTGTGAGGTATGGTGAGTCAGCAACAACTCAAGAGAGGTGGGAGTTGTAGGTTGACTTCATCCCTATTGCATTGCTAGCAAGGCTGCTTCTCGATTCCTGCGTAGCAGAAGAGCACGATCTCAAGGTCTTGTCGATCTCCTTCGTATAGAGAATGGGTTGTGGTATATTTTGATTGCCTATTCTCTGATTGCCGGTTCGTATGAAGAGACGGACGGTCATGCATCGCCGATCAGTCTTCGATAAGTCTGTGGTATATGTGCCATGTTCGATAACAACACATCCAACTGATAAATCCGCTTAACAAGTAGATCTTGTATTCGAAAACAATACATTGAGCTGATGGTACCGCTTTACACGTCGGATGGATGCAACCAGAGGCGAGTCGGAGTACAACCTCCAGCTAGCCTTCGACATCAATACGGACAGGCATACCCAGTGGTTCTACTTCCGGATGTCCAACATTAGGCGTGGCCGGCCCTACAAGCTCAACATGCAGAACCTCATGAAGACCGAGGCGGTGTACAACCTTGGCATGCAGCCGCTAGCTTACTCCGAGGTAGAAGGGAATGGAAGGTTGCGTTGAGCATCGCACGTCACATCGTCTGATACCGCACCTCCTCATTCAATCCCCTTTTGAGTTTTTACCGTATCGCTTTGAAATGCACTCCACATCGCATGAACGAGGTCATCTGTGTCGATTGACAAGCATGATTACTATGACGTAGGCCACGTTGATCGTTGATATGTAGGCTGACAACACCCATGGGATCGCCTTCTCGATAGCCCCTGAATAACATGTTGCTCTGACCTTAAAGGTTGAATTCGGCGTATGCATGCCATGGTTGTCAACAAACCTCACTCTGCGATGTCCGATGACCAATCCCTCTTGGGTGTCGCTATTTATAGTCATTGTTGTAGTCATTATTGTAGTCATTTCCATGAAGGACACTACGCACCTCTCCGTGCCTGCTGCTTCGCATCCTTTTGAGTAGACAGCCCGTCCATGAGAGACGTCCCGGGATGATATTTTTCGGCGAAAACATTGCGAAAAGAGGGAAGAATCCCTCCCCTACACAGGGGGCGTGTTTTGGGCTCGGGAGTCCTAGAGGCATTTAGTGGCAGTGTTTCGGTGTGCACGACCACGTATGGGCTAGTACTCTCTCTTCTAAGCTTGCGGTATTTACTCATGTGCGTCTGTCATGTGCTTGATGGGTTAGGGTTAGGTTAGGAACCCTTAGATTCCAAACCCTATTTCCTAACCCTCCAACCCGAACTTTTTGGGAAACTTGAACAGTCACGAACGCGCCCAGCTTTTCTTGTGCAGAAACGCACCATGACACATGCATGACGGATGCACGCAACATGCTCGTCACACGTTGCCCACGTGTGCCGCCAGTCGCGTGCGGAGCAAGAAGGCGTTGGGTGGTATCGGACGGGGTCTGACGCGTGCTACTTCAAGAATCAGCTCATGAGGGCGGGGCTGAAGCCGTTTTGGACCCTCACCTTCACCGTCCAGACATCCTTCGACCAAGACACGCTCTACTTGGCGCACTGCTTTCCCTACAGGTAGTCTCGCTAGTGTGTTGCCCCCGCTGCTGCTGCTGGTGCTGTTGTTGTTGTTGTTGTTGTTGTTGTTGATGTTGCCCGCTTCCTTGGCTCCCTTCGTTCCATCACCAACCGTGTAAAAAGCGCCGCCGCTGCTGCTGCCGCTGCTGCCGCTGCCACTGCTGTGCCCGCTTCACGTTTCAAACCCGGCCGTATTGTAACTCAAACCCGAACAATCCCGACACTAACCAACTAAGCCCCAATGGCCAGCATTCCATCCGCGACGTATGTATTCCGATCCACGGGCGGCATGGCAACACCGGAGCATGTTTCAACGCGATTTCAACTCTACCCCATAGCGATTTCTCGAAAAACGGCGATGTGCCGTTCTTCAACGGTCGTTGATCGGGACAAGGAGTGGGTGTCTCATTGCAAACTACTTTAGGCAGCGAGGACCGCCTGTGCTTGGAACAACGGAGCATTTTGCTTCCTTGCGAATGCCCCGGGAGGCAATTGCAGTAGAATCCACCACAAACCGGTGGATGCTCTCTGGCCCAAATCGAGGCCACCTTTGCCACCCCTTTGCGTGAGTGTTTATTTCCGCCCCACGAGGCTTCACTACACAACGACCAGCCAACACGACGTCCTTCCACCGACGCACGGCACACCAAAAACTACCCCCCCGTGACTATTAGGTAAGATATCCTCACGCTGTGCCCTTTCCTTTGCGCGGAAGATACTCGGACCTGCAGCAGTACCTGAGCAAGATACAGGCTTCTCCCCTTGGGGCTTGCAGTGCTATACGGAGGAGGCGTCTCTGCGAGACCTTGGCCGGGAACGAGTGCGATCTCCTCACCATCTCTACCCCCGGGGGTGATCACGCCAACAAGAAGGGGATCGTTATCTCAGCTAGGTGAGACAAGACACCAAGAAGCACACACAAACAGACAGAAGGGAAGGCAGATTAGGCAGACAGTCAAGCTGACCGACCTGATCAGACAGACAGACAGAGAGAAATGGTAGGAAGAAACGCCGTCGTAGCCCGTGCTGTACTGTGTGTGCATGGACTGAATGAGGGTGTATTTCTTGATTTCTTGATGGTTTCTCGTGTGAGGCTTCTGCGTCTTCTACTTCCCAAACACCTACCTCCAATATATCAACCCTGGTTTCGTGTTTTTATCCTTCTCCTTTCACTTACCGTTGGGATGCACATCAATCTTGGCCACGTGGTAACAAGAAGGGAAGCCCATCGATTGTTCTACTCTAGGGGAAAAAGGCAATCATTATAACAAGGAAAATTCTTAATGTTTAGGGTCCTCGTCAACTCTAAACTATTATCCTTTGACTTAAAAGGGTTCATCCCGGCGAGACTAACGCCTCCTGGATGATGAAGGGGGTCTTGGACTACTTGAGCTCCGACTGCCATTGTGCCGTCGCCTTGAGGGACAAGTTCATCTTCAAGATCGTGCCTATGCTAAACCCTGACGGTGTTGTCGTGGGGAACTACCGCTGCTCGCTCGCGGGGGGCGATCTCAACCGCCAGGTGCTGCATGCATGCGGTTGTAAACCATCCGCTATTCAGACAGCCGATGCTGCGATCAAAGCAATACTTCACGCATGTCGGGTAGAACTAACTGTGTTTGGCTCCTTGTATTGTGATCAAGCCGTGTTACACTACTGTGTGCGAGTAGCTTGCACCTTCGAGGCCAGCCAATTTCCACCGCAGACCTTAGTTTAACGCTCATGTGGCTGTGCCATCGATCATGGTCGTATCTTGCTTGCATCCGCTTGTATGTTGGTGGGGTGTGATAACCAATCAAATTGTGTTTTGTTGTTGCGGCAGGCACATTGCGAGTCTACCATTTGCTCTTCTCATGTTGCGGCGCAATTTGCCCTGCTCGTTCTTTGTCTCCTTGTTGATGATGGCAGTACGATAACCCGAAACGGGAGCTCTTCCCCGAAGTCCTACACCTTAAGCAGATGATCTCCAACTTCGGCATCGGGAACGAGGTAGGTTGCTGTTGTCGCTACCGCTGCTTCGGCAGCTTCTTCTGTCGTTGCAAGGTCGAATACCAGCGATTTGTACGAACTCACTCATCAGCCAGTGTCCCAAATCGCTGGTATGTATTCGCTTGCCTGTGAAACCTCATGACGTACACGTAGGCGGGACGACAAGGATCACGTATTAATGCTCCTCGCGGCTTAAGCCTAACCCTAACCCTAGCAACGTGTACCCTGTGTCGTGGCTACAGGTGTTGCTGTACGTGGACCTGCATGGCCATTCCAAGAAGAGCAACATCTTCATGTACGGCGTGGAGAACCCCACCGATGAGGCCCTGTACATGCGAGAGCGAATCATTCCCACCCTTCTCCACCAAGCCAGCCCATTCTTCAACTTTGCAGACTGCACCTTCGACGTGAGTTTGTTGGTGGGTATGCACACACACACGTGCGTGCGGAGCAATACTGCTGTCGCGTGAGAACGCTCTGGACGCGAGTCACTTTGAGCAAGCTGTCGATCTGAGTGAGAAACTCTTGTTGCTTGTGCGATAGAGAACGAGGCCTTTCCGGTGATTGTTCAAGCGCCATTCGTGTGTTGGTGTCGTTGTACGAAATTTTCAATTGTTCGTTTGCTGGGCTTCGCGTCATTTCAGCTGTTCGATACCCACATGTCGAGCCCATCGCCATAACGTGTTTCTCACACTAAAGGTTTGGTCATTGCACCTACAGCATCCACTTTCTAACTCTCAGGGAGAATGGATGCCGCTCTGTGTTTTCGCAAGGTGGAATAATTCGCTTCTGTTCCTATCATCAGTTGTTCCTTGCTGATGGACGGTCCGCGTCATCTTTGATGTGTGATGTGTGACGTACCGGTAGATCGGCAAGGGCAAGGAGGGATGCGGCAGGGTGGTTGTGAGAAAGCAGCTCGGCATCGTCAACGCCTACACCATGGAGGCTAGCTTTATGGGGGCAGATCAGGTAGTCTATTGTCTAGTCGAGCCAGAGCACAGACACCTACCTGTTACAGCTTCCCGAGTTGCTTAGCGCAGACCGTACAATGGACCAGTGTTGTTTGGCACGCTACACTTCCTGGTTGTTTTTTATCTCCATGTTTTCTCTCAGGGCGAGTTTCAGGGCATCCACTTCCACCAGGGGCACTACGAGGCCATGGGCCACTCCCTGTGTGAAGTTCTGCTAGACTTGGTAGACACGGACCAGAGCAAGGTCGAGGGTATCGTCCGACGTTACAGGGAAAAGTGAGTACAGCGTAAGACATTCTGTCACTTGTGTCGCAAAATGGTCTTTCCGGTGATTCGTGCTTTTTTCTCATTTTCTTCCTTTGACACAACGAGTACGTCCGCATCTATAGAATAGAGTCTACGGATTAGCAATTACACCATAGCGACTTTTTGTATTGTCTCCCATTTACTCTGGACGTTTCATCGGTCTTTTTGCTCCTTTCGGTACAATTTACATTTCTGGAAGCCAAGAATACCGTGCCGAAATGTTTTCTCCGTCGGTGCTGCAAACGGATACCAAGTTGTCGGTGTCGGTCTATCTTGAAAGCTGTTCAAGCATCGCATTCGCTTTTGCGCGTTGTCGTCATCGAAGCTAGTCATTAATGTTGCTGCCACGAAAGCTCTGAACATCGAGACCCAGACTTCCCACCCCCGTACGTTTCTCACAAAAAACTTCAATCAATCCCGCCCCTACGGCAGGTGTCCCATCGACCAGTCGCGAGTGGTGTCAAAGCGAGACGACTACGGTAACGGCGACAGCAGCAACAGCAGCGCAAGCTCCTCCTCAGACGATGACAACGACTCAGATAGCGGACGCCGTCACCATCACCGTAACCACAATCGACAACGCCAAGTCACCAGGCCGTCATCCTCCAAGCCTTCCACCCCGACCGGTCGAGAAAGCGGCGCGGGTGATAACGGCAAGTCGCGACCAGGCCCTCGGCCTGCTTCTTCTTCCGCCGAGAAAAATGGCACCCCTCGACAGAACGGCAGCGGCAACAAGGACGAGGGCAAGGGGGGAACTCCAAGGGGCGCGCTTGCCAAGAGCAAGAGCGTCACCGAGCAGCGTACACCACCAACAGTGACAAAGACAGCGGTCCCGCCGAAGATCACCCCCACCCCCGTCGCCCGACACAGCAAGGCCATCGTCCCTACCCCGCAGAAATCCACGCCTTCGGCGAAAGCGACGAAACCGGATACCCCCAAAGGTTCTTCCAAGGCTGCCGGTGAAGGTGCTGCCGGAAAGAACGCCTCTTCGAAAAACGCCTCTTCGAAAACTGGCGGCCCCGCGAATGCCACCGCCGCGTCCTCTTCCGCGGGCAGCAAAACTTCCGGCGGCGCTAGAGAGAAGGGTGCCACGGCCGGCAACGCGGCTAAGGAGAGGAGTAAGACAGCATCATCGTCACCGAGGGTGAGCGCGGTCACGACCGTGGCTCGGGGAGAGAGCCCCAAGCTGGCAGCGCCGGGGCGGTCGAAATCGATCTCGGCGGGGGGAGGGGGTCCCAAGCGGTCGAAAATCGCGGGAGTGCCCCCATTAGCCCTCCCGAGAAGGAGTACCACAACTACTGCTAGCGACAAGAAGGGTTCGACAAGAAACAGCAGCAGCGCGGGCACGAAGGGTAAACCTAAGGGGGTCCCGTTGGTGGGTACGACACCCCCCCCCCCTCGAAGACCGGCGTCCTCGCCGGGCTCGCGCTCAGTGGCTAGTCCCCGACGACGGGCCACTTCAAGAGCAGACCCCCCCAAGAGGTCGCCCTCTGCACCGCCACCCAAGACCACTGGGCCGAAGCGTGCCGAGGCCAGCAGCAATGCCACTAACAGTCGCAGCGTTGGCGCAGCGGGAGGAGGGGGCAAGGGCAAGGGGAAGGTGAAAGGAACGGCGGGAGGAGGCGGGAAGGCGGCTCCTGGTGGGACTAAGAAAGGCGAGAAGAACGAGGCCTTGCCGCTGCCGCCGCTTCGATCCAAGTCTCATAGTACCGCGACACAGACTGCGAGTAGGTAAAAGAGATGCTTCATGTAGGCAATAGTGTAGATACTCAGCACGATTGATTTAGAGCACTTGTCGGAGAATCCATGGGGTCGGTCGTCGTATCGATCAACAAATAAGTAAGTACTATTTTGTGTCCTATTGCGACGGTTCGTTTTGGCGCCCGATGTTGCCGCCGTTTGTTTCATTTTTCTTAGACTTCCTCCATGTTCGTGTCCGTCTCCACCACTGTGTTCGGTGCTGCTGCTGCTGCTGCTGCCGCGGTTGTCTACATTGTACCACGACTACGTATGGCACGCTTTCGATCTTTTGACCTTTTTTTGTGAGGTTGGGTGCCGCCGGTGGTGCTGAGTGTTTTGTATGCAATCGGGTGTGGCTGCCAATGCGACCCGCGGTGTGTTGCGACTAGAGAGAGCCTAGTGTAGGAAGGTATGACTGCAGTCCGTGTACTTGGGATCGAGCCTCAATAAGTCACGTTTGTATGGTCGGAGTGCGTTTGAAGCGGCAACATGAGCAGATATCTCGCAGACTTGCGGTAATCAAGCGAATGGTCTTCTTGTTGACTTGTTTGGTTCGGGCGAGTTATTTTTCCCGCACAAGGGACAACGAAGGACGGTCTTGATTTCATGTCTCGGAACCATGCACAGCTGACGGTTCTCCAATCATGGTATGGCGTCAACGGCACCCCTCGGCGTGCACTCGGCCGCTACAATTTTATTCAACACGAGTACCTTCGCGAGAGCTGGCTAAGGGATTTGACACCAGTAACCAGACACCAGACTATTGCGGCCTTCGTTGATGGTCACGGAAAGCCTAGAAAATGGCACAAGCAGCACGCCTGACTGGTGCTGGAGGGTAGTATACGTGGAATTACTTCCAAGTACCCGCGGCCAAGCCCACCCGAGATGCCTTGTTGAAAAATGGAATGCGTTATTGAAAAATGGAATGCGTTCACGGTTTGCCTAAACAAACGGGAGGTTTAAGGTGACTGTCCAAAATCGATTCAAGTTTCCGTCTAGCATAAAAATCATTTTGTGGACACAACTGTAGCTTGTTTACGTTACCACATACAATCCCCGGTGGAATTCACACTCTATTTATTCAGATACACCCTGGAAGTTCGGCGTATTACCCAGCTGACACGTAAGGCACTTGAGCACATTTTTGGTGTGTTGGTCCTGCCACAGCATGTGGCCCCACAACAATTGCACCACTAACGTCTAAGGAGTGTGCGGCCCAACAAGTACCCTGGTGAATCTATTGACTCTAGGCTCGGAGGTCCGGTTAAGGAATCGACCCTCTCGCTAAATATTTCAAGAGGACCCGCCGCCGCCGTTCCCGCCTCATGTTGCCTTGGGCACATGAACTGTAATGCGACTCGAGGCCCTTCACCACCACACGGTCAGACCGAACCTCCGTCCAAACCTCATGAAAGTCTTCTTGCTCACGTAGCCCTCGTTTTCCCTGCAAGCGTAGCGGGAGAACGCGAACGCGCACAGGGGAAGCTACCCTTGTCATACGCACGTTCGACAAAGAAGCACTAGCACAGCAGCGAGGAGAAAGGAAAACACCAGCAATCTATGTACATGGAAACCTAATACTGCCAAGGCTCAAAGCTACCCCGGCCTGTGAGGGAGGTTGCTATAATATCTGTTACAGAAGGCAACATAACCTGGTACCAGACAGAAAGCGTCAAAAAAGGTAAAGCCGATGTGTCAACGACGAGTCGGTCGTAGGGTCTCCGTTCCGTTCGATGCGGCATTGCGTCTCCAACTGGTAGTGCAGGTCACACAAAAAGTTTAGCGACCTGTTTCACAGCGACCAGCCACAGTATCACACTGGATCAGACCCAACATGAGAGTTACCAGGCACGGACAAACGGGACAGAGGGGTGCATCTTAATGTCTGCGAGGATGGTGTATCTGCAAAAGCGAACAGAGGTGAACAGACGAAAAATCCGTCACAACAACCCGGACGCTCGGTCGAAACGCGTTTAAAAAACAAATCTAGAGCGGTTGGCAGACGATTTCGAATGGATCTGGGCCGAACTCTCGAGTCACGGCTGCACATACGGAACCCTATTTCAGCCGAGACACTAACATCGCGGTCGCAGTTAGCAGCAAGCCTAACCCGAGAGACACGCCGCACTCACAGGTCCATCGCCATAAATGTAGTGTCCAGCGCCTCCGTGGGAACGTTCCGATGACCGCTCTTCGCCTGTCGTGCCGCACATGCAGCCGAGACGAAACGAAACGACACAAGCACAAAGACGCAGAGAAATCGGGTGAACAACATCCGTCATAAAAAAAACATGATGCACTACACACTCCGACGACCGCGGTCAGGCAACTATATCGCACCACGACGAGGTACCCGGCCGCGAACACCAGTGTTGACGTACGTACAAACGCGTAGCCCAGCCAGGCACGAAGACGAGAAACGTGCCGAGTATGGCCGCCTCAGGGAAAGTTACCAAAAATCTCCGGTACTTTGGTCACGCTTTCCTTAGGAGTAGGGCGTACCCGACACTCGATTTGAAAGTAACACCCCGAACGATCATGTCCCTCTCAAGTTTCCAACCCTGGCAGATACAACACGGCTACGTTTCACACGCCACGTGCCGCCACCGCGGCTGCAATGTCGTAACGTAACAGACCCATCGGCCATCGTTGTTGTGGCCGACTGCTGTACCTCGCAAAGATCCTCCATGAGGAAAGATAGCTCCTCCCTGTCCATCCGACCGTCCCCGTTCACATCGTACGCCTCCCAGATCTTGACTAACTCCTCGTCGCTCAGCTGTTCCCCCGTGAATCGCACCAAGTAGTTCTCGCTAGGTCTCCAGGTTCTGCAAGTCCAGCCCAGCCATCATACCAAAAAAAAGGGGACCCGTCGCACGTCAACAAGATGACAATAGTGAAACCGCGGCCCTTGGGTAGAAATACCTCACAAAATACGGTAAAGTGGTCACATCTTACATGAGAGGAACGCGCCGTTTAAAAAAAAAAAAAACTGTGTAGACGGTAGAAGTAGCGCTGGCCCGTATTTCATGATTGGTGCAAAGCGAACAACAGCGTGTCTAGCAAAGCTCACGGTCTGGATGCAACTGACCAAAACTAGGCCGCAAGTGTTTCAAGTACTGTACGACAAAGGTGTTCCGACACAAACCCTCGGACAACGGGGGCCAGTGCCCATTCGATCGGGGCTAGTCGGCACGTTCAACTCCTGTCCCCCGATTGCCAAGTTCTCGGGCGACATGATCTCAACGTGAAGGTCTTGGGACCAGCAGCAGCAACATTAAAGACAAACCCGAAACACAAACACGCCGCCATGAATGAAAGCCGAAAAACGACGACCCACCAACACACAGACAGAAACAAGAGCGTGACCTCTCTTATGACCAGAAAAAGGTTGACGTTGCTCACCTCTTGAGGTACTCCTGCCCCTGCATCTCGGTCAGCCTGGAGGCTGTTCTCCCGAAGGCAAACACCTCGTCGGGCATATCCTCACGCCGACCCGGTCCTGGATCGAACAGCTCCAGAGGAAGCGCCTCCGCCAGGCAAACCAACTTCACGCCACGCTCGTACATGACGTCAACCAGCGTGATCAGCCTCCTAACCTGTCAGACGGGACGAAGTCAGAGTAGGAGTCGGGGGCGGCAGCGCACACTCGGTTCGCTTTCTTGCGTTGGTTTCAGGGTCATGGGTGATATTTTTCGTGAACTAGAGCAACGGTTCAATTCGAAATAGACTCCAAGGGGGGTGAGTGGGTGGAGGTTTGTCCAAAAGACTCGACACCGTTTGGTTTGATAGTGAAATAAAATTTGACGTGCCGCCCAGTGCAAGAAACACCCTTTTTCTGGATACTCGAGGTGTCAGAATCTCTTACGGCTCAAGCTGATCGGAAGCAAACGGCGTGGATAAGCAATAGATCATGGCTAGGCGGCTAGCGCGACTTGGACCATATCCTCCTGAAGCAAGCAAGTGACCCACAATCAAATATCTCGAGTAACAACCACACCTTGTTCGAAACCTATTATACACAATTTCAAGACCGAGTTCAGCCTTGGCACAAAAGCGATAGGGCGATGTGTAACTCTCCCAAACGGATGCGCCGTGCCTGGTTGATGTGGATGAGGTTCATCATGGGCACCCCATGCACGAACAAGGTGTGGAAGGCCTCCGAGATGGCGGTGTAGTCAGCAGCTCCGAGGGCCTTACCGCACAGCTCGTCGAAGGTCATCATGGCCACCCGGCCCCCCTTCACAGCGCGAGGAATTCTCACCGACCGCCCCTGTGCGCTGTGGCATTTGTTACAGAATAGTCCCGTACCACCAGGGCGATAGTGGGCATGCGGGGAGGAAAACAAGCGGGTTGTGAGACGCGGAAGAAGAAAATGTTGTTGTTGTTGTTGTTGTTGTTGTTGTTGTTGTTGCTATATTTGGTTGTTGGTGGTGTCGTTCTTCCGATGGACAAGGAACAACATCACAAAACGCGGCCGGATCCATCTCACCTTAAATTCACGGGAACGGTCTGAACACCACCGCTGATGGCCTTCCACAGCTTGTCAAATTCTTCCCGGCTCTTCGCGTTGTCGGGGCTCAGGTACACCTTGCTCACAGAATCGACACCCTGGGACGTTTACACCCCCCCCCGCGCGCGCAGATACCATGAAGAAAATGAATAAGAGCATACCGTGCAGAAAAGGTAGCCGGAAAAACGGAGGATGAGTGCAGCAGTTGATACTACTCGCTTGCGGCAACACATGGCAAGTGCAGCAACAGATCGGCAAAACCAAAGCGCCCACGCTTCTCAGACGGGAAACTGAAGCATCTGCTGCAGAGACGTCTGCATTTCACCCGGGGCTTTCGGTGCGGTCATTCGGCCAAAGGCTAATTATGGTTCGGAGAGCGAGTTGGCGAGGAAGACATCCGTGGTGGGGGATGATGTGCTTTCGTAGGTACTGCAAAGAGAAGCCGAGGAAAAAGAATAGTGTTCTGTGGGGCTGCTGCGGGATATGTCTTCCGCACCTTCCTTTTCGGGGACACACGGTCTTCAGTCTTCACCACGAATCGGCCCAAGTACGATACAAGCAAGCACTTCACACAGGAAGAGAAGACAAGCTTAGGAGCGCGTATCAACACAAGCGCGGCGGTCTTCGAATCATCCTCCGACCTGAAGTAGGCGGTAGTCGGTGCTGGAGGCCTCCAGGGAGTGCACGTGGCTCCTCTCCTTGAGCTGCTCGATGAACGGCAGGAACGCCGCTCGTTGGAGACCCTTATGGTACAGGTGGTCCGGGGGTCTGTTGGACGTGGCCACGACAACCGCCCCCTTCCCCCACAAGCCGGAAAACAGCTGCCGGATCATCATGGCGTCCGCGATGTCCGTCACCTGCACCGATAGGTCCATTCGATTCGATTCTTTGGCTTAGCAGGCACGTAGACGGAGCTTGAAAGTGGTGTACACCGCTCAGACTGGGAGACCTAACCAACCACCCTGAAAGGAAAATTCAGCATCCGAAAGGAGACCCGCTACTGCATCTCCTCAATCCTCAACCCTCAACCCTTAACCTGGAGCATGCTC